AAAATAACCATTTTTTTCCGAGCAACATATAAAACTTAAAAGGCAACGATTACACTGTGAGACAAATTGTAGGGGTCAGTGATCGGGAAGGGTTCAAACTACCGGGGAAAGTTATATCGGTAAAAAAGAAGTTATACGTGTCCCGGCGTTTCGCTGGGTCACGTCTAGGAATCGAGATATATCGATTTGAAGTTAGTAACTATCATATAGGGGAAATTGTCACCTTTGGTGGTCTTTTTTTTGACATAACTCGAGAACCACTAGTCCGATTTTGCTCAAACAAATTTAAAAAAATTAAAAATTACAATTCCTTTAATCTGTTCATATAACGTTTTTCTATATAATCAACAGTTTTCCGGTAAAAATAAATGTATGAAGAAAAAATATATTTTTTGCCTAAAATATTAAATTTTTTTATTTTTTAAATTCATAAAAAATCCAAAACGGAAAAAAGCAAGTCGTATTACTTTCACGCAAAGTCACATAACCTTTAAGCAAAATGAGACATAGATCATGAAAATCGATGGACGCGTTTCGCTTTTATTCACAATTAAGTGAAGGTATCTCATTTTTACAAGAATATTGATTTTATGTTTCAATGAATTTGGATAATATTTATTATATATTATTTATTATTAACACGTAAAATTAAAAATTATTACAGGTAATTATTAGGTTATTACATAGATACATAGGTTATAAAAATCGATGAACGCAAAACTTATTTTCGTTTGTTTGCGCCCTTTACTTTCTTGCGTGGTGGTTCGCCCACTTGTTCAGAGTCCGTATCGGATGAGGATCTGTCTTCATCTGGAAAAAATCAATTGTTTTTAATCAGTCAGTTAACTTCATTTTTGTGACTTACCCTCGGAGGAAACTCCCATTGTATATTCTTCTTCTTCATCTTCATTGTCGGGATCGTACGTCTTTTGCGACCACCAACAAATTTCAGCCACCAGCGAATCGAGCCTTTTGCCTTTATATCGCGTTTCCATTGGCATTGAAACTTGATGGAAGCGCTCGCCATGTTCATCCGACTCTGAGGCTAGCTGCTTGCTGAAGTATTCGAGATGGTGATGCATTGTTTCAATAGAAAAAGAATGCGGTAGAGGTATTTGTGCACTTTTAACAGATATGTAAACTCTTCGTTTAAGGCCTTTACGATTTACTCCACATATTTTGTTTGCGCAAGCGTAACAGTTGTAAGAATTGTGCTCTTCTGGATCAGTCCAAATCATTGGTACACCAAAACGAAGTGAACTGCGTTTCCCTTGGATCCACATGTTAAGACCATTGTAGCACGTTTTACAAATTTTGTCTGGGACCCACGAAACGCCGCGAATTATTTCGGAATCAAAATAAAGTTTAAAAGCGCGCTCCAGTTGCTCAGTGAGTAATGCAGTATTTGTTGAAAAAGCTCTTTTGCCACAAACGTAACAAAATAAATTGATATTTTCTGGGCAATTTGCACTCATTTCGGTTTTATACTTTTATTACTTTTTCGTCACTTTAAAAAAATCGTACTTTACGCGACACTTGTTGAATGACAAAAATCGATCAATGAACACCTACTTATGAATTGGCGCATCTTTTAAGGGTGGCTATATACCTGATTCGTGTGCGTTTTAAATTTTTCGAAACGTTCTAAAACATGACCACTCATAAATGTGGGGGCAATTTGTGTAAAAAAATCATGCAGGTAGCCAACGGAAAAAACCAAATTTTTGAAATTCATACCTTTACTTAATTTTGAATAAAAGCGAAACGCATACCTTGATTTTCATGATGTATGTCTCATTTTGTTCATAGGTTATGTGACTTTACGTGACACTTTTTTCCGTTTTGGATTTTTTATGAATTCATACATTTATTTTTACCGGCAAAACTGTTGAGTATATAGAAAAACGTTATATTAACAGATTAAAGGAATTGTAATTTTTAATTTTTTTAAATTTGTTTGAGCAAAATCGGACTAGTGGGCCACGTATAACTTGTTTTTGACCGATATAATATTTCCCGTTGGTTTCATCCCATCCCAATTTTGACTGTCGCATAGTGTTATTTTCCGAGCCAAAAATAAAACTCAATACATAACGATTATTTTCTGAGTAAAAAATTAAATTAAAAATAATAATGATTAAACTTGATTTTTATAACTAAAAGTTTAAAAATAAAAATCAGTGCCGCTGAAGGTATTCCGAGTAATAAGAAATATATTTGTTTACTCCTTATGCACGTAGCATGTCTCCTTCAGTGAGGTTTTTTGAGTTGAAATTTCAAAAATAATCGGTATTTGCGGTCCCTGCTTTGTATGCCATTTGATGCAGAACGAACTATATTTATATTAAAAATTAACGAAAAAAATGTATTACAAAAAACATTGCAAATATAAAAAAAAAAAACGCTGTACGGAAACATATTCTGGTTAGTGTATTTGATATCAACCTTAAGCAAATACTTCAAAGATTTTAATTAAAGGAGCAACTTAAAAAAACCTCCAAAAGGCCTTTTGAAATACGTCCGATAAAAGCTCTTCAGGAAGGCCTTCCATGCGTAGCGAAAGAAGACCCCTTCCAATTTGTGCCGCTCCAGAAAAAAAAAGGGAGAAAGGAATGTTGAGTGGAAGGCCCTTTGAATCTCAATAAGGCCTTTCGGAAGGCCTTTTAACTCCTGAAATTATCTACTGGGTTACGACCAGTGCACGGACTTCGAGAAAATTAATATTGGTAGATTTTACTTACATAAACTTTTTTAAGAGCCAATATTAGATAGTTTTTATTCATTTAGAATAAATTAAAGCGAAAGATGGTACTAACAAAGCAGCTGGATTTTCGCCTGGGGGGTTCTTAATATCAAAATGATATATTTGTTGTAATTCTTAATGTATTTTTGCGTAAAATTTGTTAGTGGCATTTTTGTTTTTGAACTTCTGCTGTCACCTTATTATATGAATTCGCCTTGGAATAAATTGTATTTCTTTATAAAATAATAAAACATGCAAAAAACCGCATAAATATGTAATACATAAAAATAGACCCGAATCATGACATCCGTGATCGAATGAAATACGATTCGAAACGAACGAAGCAAAATGGCAGCCGTTTTCTCTCAAATACATTTTGAACTGAAAAAGCGAACTCGTAACCAAAAGCTGTAAAGAAAATTTCCATTCGAATTTGATTCGATCAAAGATGCCTTCATTCTCGCCACATTTTAAAATAAAACAAACAATTACTCCGCAATTCAAATTTCTTTATAAAATTAGTTTGGTAAAATGGCAGAAAATAAAATACAGCTAAAAAGTTGGTAGATCTACCAAGAAAGTGGTAAAGTCCGTGCACTGGTTACGACATACAACAATACGTAACCGTTGTGAATACCCCATATAAATAGCTAATTGAATGCAGAGTTGGGGGTAGTGCAATAAATTTTGAGTGTACTAAGCACTAAATATATTCGGAAAAGAATGGGATTTTTCAATATTTATCACCAGCTTAACGATAGTTGAAAATTTCTTCACTACCCCTAAATCCATTAGTGATAGTGCTATTTTGCTTCACTATAACTAAATTAACTGATAGAGAACAAATCTACACTACACTCAAATAGTGAAAAAATTTTAGAATTCTCAACATAAAGCTGGAAGAAAAATATTTTCACTAAACTTTCAAAAAGTAATGCTGATGAAAATTTTCGACCCAGCAAATTATACGCCGCATATACATATGTACATACATACATATCGTCGTTTAAAGTGCAAAACCGCGTATCAGCAAAATGCAATACCGCGTATGTGAAGTTGTAGAAATTATGTTCTAGAGCGTAAAAACACTCATATTTTAAAATGGTTCTCTTTTTTATAAAGAAATCGCATATCTACCTAGTATATTTCAGGACGAATGGATAAGGATTGAGCCAAGAGCTTGTGTGAGCAAATCCAATTTTTGGCAGCCAATGTCAGTTACGCGGTTTTGCAGAATCACGATATGCGGTTTTGTACTTTAAACGACGATATGTATGTAAATGTGTAACATCATAACTTAAGATCGGTTGTCATGAATGATGCTCATAGTTTTGAGGCTGTGAGAGCAACATACTGTTACTCACAAAATTGAGCATACGGCTTTTTTTTGTTAATGTAAGCAATGTTTAAAATGCTAAAATTTGTTTGTTAATTTTGTATTAAAATGTGGCTTATATTTTAGCTAAGTTGATTTTTGAGAATTTTTTGCTGACTATCCTAATTTACCAAAAGTGTAAATTTACAAAATATGTAATGCGAAAATAGAAAAATTGAAGAGTGATCTGTTCTTTAACTTTCGGAAAATTAATTTATCGAATAAAATAGTGGTATTTTAAAATAAATACTCAAAATGGAAAATTTAGATTTTGACAGCGATGATAGGATTGTGGACCCCACATACATAAATGATGATACACCAACTACATATTGCTTTTTAAAAATAAAGTGAGAATATTTGGTAAATAAAGCAAACAAAAAATTAAGCAATTAATTATTAGGATGCACTTTTTTAAATTGTTTTCATAACTAATAATTTGTGTTATTTTTTATTACATACATACTGTTTCATCCTATTTAGTTTTGCCTTTTTAATGCAGTTTTACTCTCATATGCGATAAACTTTAAAACTCAATTTTTCAATTTACTGAAAAAATTCTGTATTCCAAAAAAAAATTGTGTTGGATTTTTTTACACTAAAAGTTTTAGTGAAGAAAAAAATGTTGCACTAGGCTGAATACTTTTTTTCACTATTCTACTATTAATTTTAGTGATTTTTTTTCATTTCACTATCACTATTGTATAGTGAGGCTGATATTTTGCAATTCACCACTAAACACCAAAAGTAGTAATTAAAAAGTTTGCGCTATCACTAACTATTAGTGGAAACTGAAAATTTAGAGCACTACCCCCATCGCTGATTGAATGCACGTACTACATAAAGTTTTTGTTTTCTTTTTTTGAAAATATCTCTACAAAGGATCCCGTCAATTTGTATTTAATAATGGAGTTCTTACCGGGTGGCGATATGATGACGCTTCTAATGAAAAAGGACACTCTCTCGGAAGAATGCACACAGTTCTACATTAGTGAAACGGCCTTGGCCATAGATTCGATTCATAAATTAGGCTTCATTCATAGGGATATAAAACCCGATAACCTACTACTTGACTCGCGTGGACACTTGAAGGTAAATATGATACAAATATTTAAATGCATTTAAATTCCAGTTCCCTCTTTACCAATAAATTTGTAGCTTTCTGATTTTGGACTATGCACGGGTTTGAAAAAGTCGCATCGTACCGACTTTTACCGGGACCTTTCACAAGCCAAGCCATCCGATTTCATTGGAACATGTGCTAGGTAAGCATATTTTTCCTCCGATTTGTTTCAGTAATTCAAAATTTTATACTTTATCGTTTTTACTTCCTAGCCCAATGGATTCAAAACGGCGAGCAGAGTCGTGGAAACGTAATCGCCGAGCTTTGGCCTACAGTACAGTTGGAACACCTGATTACATTGCCCCAGAAGTATTTTTACAGACTGGTTATGGGCCTGCGTGTGACTGGTGGTCTTTAGGTGTAATAATGTACGAAATGCTGATGGGATACCCACCATTTTGTTCGGACAATCCTCAAGATACATACCGGAAAGTGATGAACTGGCGAGAAACATTGATATTCCCGCCCGAAATCCCAATATCCGAAGAAGCGAAAGATACAATTGTCAAATTCTGCTGCGAGGCCGACCGTCGTTTAGGCTCACAACGTGGTTTAGAAGATGTAAAATCAGTGCCATTCTTCAGAGGAGTGGATTGGGAACATATCCGCGAGCGTCCTGCGGCCATTCCCGTCGATGTGCGATCAATTGATGATACGTCCAACTTTGATGAATTCCCTGATGTTTCGCTCGAAATACGTATGTTTATGTGTACAAGCACTTTAATATAGGTTTATTTCTATTGGCATGTACAGTTCTTGTTTGTATATTTACAGCATCAGCCCCTATACCTCAAGGCAGCGAAATAGCCAAGGACTGGGTGTTCATAAACTACACATTTAAGCGCTTTGAAGTTCGAAATTTAGAGTGAAGTTGTTGCTATCCCGTCATTGCTCCGTAGAAATGCTTTATGAAACTTGATTCAATGATTTTATATCGAACATGAATAATTTAAGATTATATTTATTGAGTTAAATTAGAAAAAGTAATAACCAGTGTGCATAATTAACTTTATTAACTATTTATTGTTGTCCCATATTTAATCATTTGCAAATGTAAGTATGGTGTGTGGGTTTGTGATGATCATTTTCAAATCTACTTAAAGTAAGTTTTGTTGAAAAATGTCCACTCGCCAAATTTTAAAAGATAGTTTCCAGGCACGTCTAAGTTTTTTCTTGAATAATTGTTGCATTGCTTTCTTCAATTTGCAATTTATAGTCGTATGCAAATTAGTGCATATAACTATTCATGGGCGTCGCTACCTAGGGGCAGGGGCTCGAGGCACCGCGCCCCAAGCCTCCCCCTCCTAACCTTTGAATTTTACCTTCCATGAAGGTATACAAAACTAAGAAATGGTCTCTGAAAGCAAAATTCTTTACCCGGGAGTAAAATGTGCCTTACAACTTCACTTAGCTCTGCCGTGTACTTACAAACTTGCACAATTGAAAGGTAGTTTAGCACACTAAAGACCGTTTTCTGAAGTAACCTTTAAGTTTAAAGTTCAGGTAATATTTAAAAGTTGGATTAAAAGTAAAGCTATGTCTAAAGTTAAGCATTTCTAAAATCGGTTTATGACGTATGCGTATTTCTTGGTTGTAAACTAATTTAAAACGGATAGTAGAATGCTTTACTTTAGACACAATCATAAATTTTAATGCAACCTTTAAATATAAAGGGAGCTTTAAAGTTACACGTTACTTGAGAAAACGGCCCTAAGAAGGGTAAAAACTTGGCTGCGCTCCACATGAGCGAAACTCGACTTAACGGTAATCATCTACATATATATAATTGCTCAATCATACGACTAAGGGCGATCTGTAGCAGCTACAAAATTAGGCTATATATCAAATTAAAGTGCAAGCTGCAGTTGCAGTTGACCGTGTTTGTCACAAGAGTAAAAAGTGGCAGAAAAGTCGTGTGGGCAATATACTCTATTGAAAAATATTAACAAATTTTTCGTCGAATTGAGTTTCGGAAAAGGTGTTAGATATTATTCATAGTTTTGAAATATATTTCACGAAAGCAAAAATTATATCACTGACCAATTTAAAGGACCCTGAATGACGGCAAAGCTCAAAGTTTTTATTTTTATAAATATATTGATGTGTTTTTCGAAATGAACGATCCAAAATTAGCGAGTGTACATATTTTAAAATTTTTATCAGTGGTTGAATTTTTTACTGCAAGGGTTAAAAAAGGCTTAGTTTAAAAGTGTGATATTCAGGCTGGTTCTGCAATTCACTTTCGACTGAATTTCAATAAACTTCGCTTTGAATTCAAATTGGCAGGGTTTGAGATTCACTCGGAAGTGAATTGCAGAACCTGCCTGATTAAATGCCGTTCACCATACACGTTGCCAATTTTCAGTTGTTATTGCGTTTCAGATTACGACCAATAAAGCCCTTAAGAAGGATATTGTGAAAGGTTGAACTATACATTAAAGATGACTATTTTCTTACGGTCTACTGTACGAAGCTTTGAGTAGAGTAAGGTCGTTTAAGAACTTAAAGTTATCAGGTCTCTAGCAATACAAGATCAGTTGTTGTCTTTAACGAAGTTTTTAAATAAATATTGAGCTAAATACTGAAATCTTGAGCTAAATACTGAAATGTATTTATGAATATCACGTTTTATTATATAATTAAATTTAAATTTTTAATATTAGTAAGTATTTCTTTACTGCATTCACCCGAATTTCGGGGGCTCATACCAGTTTTAATAAATTGTCAGTTTAATTTCTTATAAAATTTACCTTTAGGTTTATGCATCTTAAAGCGTATCAGATGAGGAAATATTTCCCATTCCCACGACAGCCGGTTCTACGCACCGGAATGACTCGGGTTTTACCCGACAAAGGGCTGTTGTTTCGGCGATCTAACCCCGTTTAGGTCGGCGAAATCCCTCAAAAGTTGTACGTCCATAGGGCTACATTCGCTACGTTTTCTTCTACTCAGGGCTGGCATCGAGTCAAACCCAGGGGCCAGAAACCTACACCTGCTGCGTATGCCAGAGACGACTACACCACAACTCCACCTCAGTCAAGTGCAATGCTTGCGAGGGGTGGAGTCACCTCAGAGTCTACTCAGGACTACGGACACATCGGTAGTGGACCACGTCTTTTGTGGCTCAAACAGCGCAGCCTCCACGGCTAACTCCAGTCCACCTGAGCAGTCCCACACAAACACCGCAGCACAACAACATAACACAATAGACCACACCACAACTGCTACAGACCACAAAACACACACAACCGCATCACCACCCACACGCCGCCGCCAACAACTCGTGGTTCCTCCTACAATCTGCACGGTATGTCAGACCAGGATATTCCGTAATGTGACATCAGTCAAGTGCAACACCTGCCTTGGATGGTGCCACTTTAGGTCATGCTCAGGTCTGCGCACCACGCGAGATTTGACGAGGACCTTCGAGGGCCCGTGTTGCGCCGCTCGGTCGCAGACCTCAACTGCGACGCCTCCCGCCACCACCAGAGGGCGGCAACCACCTCAGCAGCGCACACAGCCAACTGCAGCACGACCACACACATCCCTCACACCCCGCATCACCACACGTCTCCCGAACCACATGAAGCTCCTTCAATTTAAATGTAATGGGCTTCAGACCAAGATCGAGGAGATAACCGTGTTCATGGGAAGGCATGGCATATTGATAGCTGCGGTCCAAGAGACGAAGTTGCACAGCAATTCAACACTGTTGAATTGTGCCGGGTACAACGTGCACCGCCGAGATCGCGATCGGGACAATGGTGGTGGCTTAGCGTTCATCACGCACCACACCGTGCAGTATCGTCTTATCGAAGCAGACATCGACCGCAGGGATACCACCCTAGAATGTCTGGGCATAGCAATCCGATCAGGCGATGTCGAGTTCGAAATATTTAACGTTTATATACCCCCTGTCACCTGCTGCCCGGCAGGATATCACCCTGACATAGGTGCGCTCCTTAGAGGTGAAAACCGTATGGTAGTAGGCGACTTTAATGCGCACCACGATCTTTGGCACTCAAGCCTGTCAAACGATCGTAAGGAAACTGACTTGGCTGAGCAGATAGACGATTCGACATTCTGCACAATGAACGACGACGCACCCACCGGATATATGGGCAGCTGCTGCACCTCGCCAGACAACAATAGTCAGCGCTGGTCTGATAAACAGCATATCATGGCGACCTATGCTGACTTTGGCATCAGACCATCTGCCCATAGTCATCTCGATCGATAAACCAACCGACTTTGCTTCCGCGGAGCACCGAACATATATCAACTTTTCTAAAGCTGAAAGGCTTCGCGAAATTTACTGAAAACACCTACGCTGCTCTCCACACACCAACCGACGTAAACCTTGGTAAACGTAAGTTCCGCAGGGCTTTCACCGCTGCTGCAGCTCGCTTCGTACCGGCAGGATGTATTACGGACCCACGTCCAAACTTCCCTGCTATAGCCTTCGTCAGGCCAATCCCGGAGATCGCCGTATCAGGGATCTCAACGCGGAGATTCGGCAACTAGTAAACGCACACAAGCGGAAGAAGTGGGAAGAGCATCTGAAGACCTGTAACTTCGCCTCTGGTGTGAGTAAGCTTTGGTCAACCGTGAGGTCACTGTCCAATCCGACGAAGCACGACGACAGAATCGAAATTTGTTTCGGCGACCATGCTTCGTCGGACCCGGAGCGATGCGCGAGCTATTTTAGCTGGCAGTTCATACTGCATCCTCCGGTGGACAAAGCCAAGCGTTGGCTGCACAAACTGCCAACAAGCTGTGCCCCCCTTGCTTTCACTTGCGGTGAAGTTCAGGTGGCCATCGGGAAGGCGAAAGCCTACAAAGCCATGGGTCCCGACGGAATATGCATGCTGATGCTGAAAGATTTGGGTCCTGCGGGGGTAGCGTACCTAACGGAGGTCCTCAATTTGTCTATGGCCACTCTCATCATCCCAGACATCTGGAAGGTGGGGAGAGTGGTCCCACTGCTCAAACCGGGGAAACCTGCCAACACAGGAGATTCTTATCGGCCGATAACACTCCTTTCCCCGGTTGCGAAGACACTCGGGGCCTTGCTACTCCCGTATTTCACAAACCGCCTGACCAGTGTTGCCGCGAATCATTTTTAGCGGTAGCCAAATTCCGTTAAAAAAGTGCTAAAAAAGAGCTAAAAAAAGTCGTTGTGGCTAAAAATGGTAGCTTAATTTTTTACTTACATATACATATATAAGTATACACGCAAACATTTTCAACAAGTAATGGTATAGAAAAACAATGAAGTCTGGAAAAAACCTAAGACTTTATCCAACCACAAGCCTTTTTGTATAAAAGGGGAAATATACGACACCAGCTTGCTTTCTCCATCAAGTGATTGTACCATCAGGCTCGAAGCATATAACTTACCAGCATGCTGGTACAATATTTATTTCTTTACAAATGAGGTCGAGAAAAGATCGAAATGATTAGATCCAAAATTTCATAATTTTTCTACCATATTGTTAAACATTGTTTTTTTCCCAACTACAATATCGTGAACTTAATCTTCCACAAACACGGCTTTGACCCATATAGGGCAAGAAATTTCCGCCAAAATACTTTTTACTTAGAAAATTTAGCTAATTTCATCAAATCATTTCAATCATAAAATTTTCAAATAGTTTGTGAAGTCGCACCAGCAGCTGGTACAATCACACCACAAGAACATACACATATTAAGGGCCGTAAACTTATCTACTTTAAACTATAGTAGTATAAAAACGTAAGGAACATACAATACATATATGTATATTAGACTGCATCACCAAAAAAAGTTGCGGTTTTTCCGCCCGGATTATAAAATTATTATATTTTAAGACGTCCACCAAAATATTTCGGAAAAATATTAAGATTTAAGCGAGCTGGACCGATTTGAAAATACCTCCAAAAATGAAGTTTTTTATGAATAAAAATAGTTTCTTAAACAACTTTTTGATAAAAGTCCCCTCAGATAACAAATTAGATTAAGCTTAAAAAATCTGCATAAAAATCTTTAAAAATCCTTTCAACGGGATTTTTGATGCTGTTTTTTACTTTTTTCAAAGATTGGTTTACGAAAAACTTGAATAATTGCGCCAAAAATGTTCTGATGTAGACTTATGGGATCTCAGTAGAAAGGTATTTTCACTCTGTTTTTATTTCTGGCCAAAAAAACGACATTCGTGTTCCATCTTGTTTTTTCGAATACAAACACAACTTAATTCAACTTTGAAAGAAGTTCGTTCATCCTACCTTTCTCTTCCATCCTTTGAATGAGTTTATTAGCAAAGAAATAAAAGGGAAAATACCTTTCCATTGACACCTCTTAAGTCTAAATCGGAAGAGTTTAGGTTCAGTTATTCAAGTTTTTCCTATACCAATCTTTGAAAAAAGTTAAAAAAACAGCATCAAAAATCTCATCATTACGATTCCGTTCAAAATTTTTTTTCTTTTTTTTTAAATATTCTTATGCAAATATTTTAAGCTTAAACCGTTTCGTCATTTGAGGGGATTTTTAAAAAAAAATCTTTAAGAAACTATTTTTATTCATAAAAAACTCCATTTTTGGAGGTATTTTCAAATCGGTCCAGCTCACTTAAATCTTAATATTTTTCCGAAATATTTTGGTGGACGTCTTAAAATATAATAGCTTTTATAATTCCAATGGAAAAATAGTACCAAGTTTTTTTTTTGTATGGGGAGTGATGCAGTCTAATGTATATATATCAGTCATTCTTAGTTTAAAAATTCATCTCTTACATAGATGAACAAAAAATTTTAGATCAAATTAAGCATATACAAGTTTTTCATGCCAAGTATGAATAAACTCTAAAAAGGGCTAAAAAAAGGGCTAGGGCAATTTTAAATTTATGTCGCCAAAAAAAGTATGTGGTAGCTAAATCTAGCCACCAAAGGACTAAAACGGCAACACTGCACCAGGCCCCAGCGAAGCATCAGCATGGTTTCCGTAAAGTGCACAGTACAACAACAGCACTTAACGCCATAAACACGCAGATAACTCGTGGCCTTAACCGTAAACGTACCTGTAAGAGAACGATTCTAGTAGCGTTGGACTTGTCAAAGGCGTTTGACACCGTCTGCCATTCCACGCTACTAGAAGATATAGAGGCCTCCTCTCTTCCACAGAGGCTCAAACGGTGGTCGGCAAATTATCTGAGTGGTCGACACTCGTCGGTAATGTTTAGAGACAAAACGAGTAAACTCAGAAAAATAAAACAGGGGGTTCCACAGGGTGGTGTCCTTTCCCCGTTAACTTTTTAACTTTTACATTTCAAAGCTCCCTCAACCACCAGAGGGAGTCTCGATTGTCTCTTACGCCGACGATTGCTCGATCATGGCGACCGGGAATGGAATTGATGACCTGTGTTCGAAAGTAAACGGGTATCTCTCTGAACTTTCTCGCTTCTTCACTGCAAAGTGTCTAGCCCTCTCCCCTACGAAATCCTCTGCGACCCTGTTCACAACCTGGACGAAGGAGGTCAGGCTACCGCTGGGAATTCACGTCGATGACACACCAATTCCGACGATGAATAATCCCAAAATACTCGGAGTAAC